AGAGAGATAGAATATTCTCCCGCGTCCTCGCTTCCGCCATCCGCTGTTCCACACCACCGTCAAAAATATAAATGTGACGCCATTTCGCTCCCCTCCTCGACAATAAGAGCATCGCCGCTGCGGCACCTCGCATTTTCTTACCCCCCCACCCCCTCCCAAAGCTTCTTTTCGCGAGAATAGAAGTCGTGATGATGGACACGGCGCAAGTCCGCCACTACGACACGGGGAGGGCGGAAGGGAAGGGAGGGACAGAGCGAGCGAGCGAACGAGACAGAGAGCGAGAGGAAGAAGAGGAGGAGGAGAAGGCGGAGGAGGAGAAAGGGATGACACCGTTTACCACTATCAGGCGATGAAGGGGTGCAGTAGTGGCATTAGGTTAGGTTGTCCCAGGGCTCGGAGGGGGCGGGGGCACTGCGGATATTAACTAGCAAAACACTGCAAAAAAGAACCAAAACCAAAACAAACTGAAACCAGACGAACACCCGAACTAAGTGTTTCTGCACTAATTTTTGTTTCATGTCTCCGGTTAAATGTGGAACAAGTACTATAGCTAGAAAACATGGGGTAGAGGAAGAGAAAGAGAGAGAGAGAGAGGCCAGAACGAAGCTGGCGCACCAACCAACCAGGCGGAGCGGAGGTTTAGGGGCGATATCCCTCCACTGTGTGAGAAAACAGAGGGATTTGACAGCACCCCCACTCCCTGATGGAATGTGATAGCGCGGGGGAGGGAGAGGGAAGGAGAGGGGGGGGGGGCACCATGCGGCGCGTTCAGACTCATGTTGACAGAGCAAACACGTGCCCGTCTTTGGACAGCTCCCCTTCACTCACTTTCTCTCTCGCTCGCTCCCCCCCCTACTCTCTCTCGCTCTTCTGCTTCTATATATCTCGCTCGCTTTCTCCCCAGCTACCGCCGCCGCCACGGCGCAGCAGGCAGGTATGGCAAACCCCCAACGTGGAGGGGGATAAGATGAGATGAGTATGAGCGTGTGTGTGAGAGAGAGAGGTGAGAGAGAGGTGAGAGAGAGAGAGAGAGAGAGAGAGAGAGAGAGAGACAGAGAGAGACAGAGAGAGACAGAGATAGTAAAGGACAGACAGAGCGAGAGAAGAGTGTGTCCCTTTGTTTGATCCGCGTAGGGAGGCTAAATAAATATGAATATGAGGAAAGACAAAAAGTAAAATGAAAGGAAACTCCTCGTGGCCAACTACAGCGTAGTAGATCCCATCATCACAATAAGCTCTAGACAGAGCGGTAAAACCCAGGCTGAAATTCTATCTGCCCGGATAGTTGTTTTTTAAATAATAAATTATAAAAAAACTTAATTAGAATTTAGGCGTGTGCGCACACATTGACCCGCACAGATTGCAGCAGCACATAGATAGCTCAGCGCTCCGCACGCAGCGGCGCTGCTCCCGAAAATGAAATCGTCTCCGCTTTGGCGTTTGCTCGGCAGAAATGCACCCGCAGGAGGGGCGGGGCGGTGGTATTTACGGCGCGATCGTGACGCTCTCGCAGACCGCCGCCTCGTCCTGGAGCGGGGCGTGGCGGGGTGGGGCGGGGCGGGGGGTAGGGTAGGCTGCTCGGTACGCCCGCGGCCCGGGCGCTGCGCTGCAGCGTACTTCCCCTGGACCATTATTATTCCGCCATTAAATACTGGGTGCTAAACCATACTGCGGGCCCAGACCGGCCCGCCGGCCCGCTGCAGCAGTGGATCAAAAAGAACAGAGAGCTGGACGGCGCATAAACACTGTGCCCCAGCCGGGACCAGCAGAGGAGGTGGGTGTTGGAGGGGGTGGGCGAGGGGAGGATGGGAGTATGGGGACAGGGAGGTGGGAATTGCATCGAGCGCAGAGCAGAACTCGGCGATGAAACTTGCAAGAAGTAGTTGTTGCAGCCCGCCCCCGCTGGCCTGGCCCCGCCCCGAGTCGGGACGATTCATTCTTTGGCGAGGCACGGCGTCGTGGCGTGGCCGGCGCACGATATTGTGCACCACCGCCACCGCCGCCGCCACCAGCTGCTCAGCCGCTACAAACGACCCCAAAACTTGGCGCGCCGCGGCGAATATGAGAATTAAGCGGATGTAAGGCACGCTGGTGCCGGTCGTGATGGCGGCGACAACGCGCAGCGCCGCCAGCCAGCGAGCGCCTCACGGCGAGCGGCTAGGCAGCCCGGCCGGCACGGGAGCGCGCGGCGGCCGGGCGTAGCCTAACTGCCGGGCGCTACGGGTGGCGCGGCGGGTCCCCCATCCCCCCACACCGCTATAATATCATCGACCATATTGCATACAGAGCGCGCTGCTCTCGCACTCAGCAGAGCCTGCTTGCAGTGGATTTTCAACAACAACGCACACCATATACCCGCGCGGCGAAATTTTACGGTCCTCTCAGCTCGTCATTTTATTAGCCCCTAGCTGGCCTAGCTGCGCTTGCTCGTGTGAGTGTGTGTGAATTTGTGTGTGTGTGTGTGTGTGTGTGTGTGTGTGTGTGTGTGTGAACGAGTGCATGTGTGTGTGCGCGCGAGTGGCCGTGGCCGAGGCCTTCCCCCCCACAGCCTTCTCGGCGTGTTTTATAGGCGAGAATAAAGGCGCCCCTGGAGTGGCTCTGAAGTGGCTCCGGAGCGGGACAGCAGAGCGACGGGCGACGAGCTACTTCCGAATCATCATTTTCATTATCACTGTCCGGTCTAGAAGCGGGGAGGAGAGAAGAAGAAAGCGACGAAACAATAAGGAATTCTGTGACTCACCTGCGTCCTCCGTCTGGCCGACCCTGGTCTGGTTCATCATGTTCAGGCACTCCCTTTGGTACTCGATGACGGTGGACTTCCACTGAGAACAAAAAAGAAACGATAGCTATGATAAGATTTAGTTCTTCAACATGTAGAAGAACTCTTTTTCAAACAGAACCGAAAAATATTCGTTTGTTGTTGCAAGTTACTAGTAAGTCTTTCTCTATGCAGAACGTGGCCCAGTTGGGTAACTGGAATCCGAGACTGCATAATAAGGGAGATGTTTTGGTCGGAATGCGACGTAAACTACTGTTCTCAATTTTAAAGAGATTTAAAGCCGAAATAAGGGGTTTTGAGAGTAATTTTCCGCTTCGTTTGGCGCGCGATCGGCAGCAGCAGCGGGACGGACAGCATGCCAATAATTATTGGAAACAACAACCCGTGACCGGCCTGGGCCGCCGGGGCGGGGCGAACCCGGGGTCTGCGGACATCACATAAATCACAAGTTTGTAGCGCAATCAGCAAGCCGGGCGGGGCACGCGCATCGTACGGGCTTGCACCCTCCACCCTCCACTCCCTCCCTCACCCTGCTCCCAACCCCTTCACCCCCTCCCCTTCCCTTCCCCATTTACCGCATCACTGCGCCCACTCGCCCAGTCGGGCAGAGCTCGCCCGGCCCGGCCCGGAGCAGCTCGCCGTGCCGCCCACGTCGTAAAAGTAACTTTGTTGCCCTGCGCTGGTCAGCGAGTACTCGCACACGTCAGGTGCCCCTCCTTCCCTCCCTCCCTCCCACCATCCTCCTCTCTCTCCACCCGCCCTTTCTCCTTTTTCTGACCTCCTCTTTTGCCCTCGCGGTTTGATATAGTGGGGACCGTGCACCGCGCGCCCTGCACATGTGCGGCGTGTGGCATGCCAGTAGCAAAGGAGAGGCAGCAGCAGGGCTGAAAAAATTATCAGAACACCAAAACAAATAATGATAAGTAAAAAAAATGACAACACAAGAAACAAAAGTTTTTTCTTCAAAATTGTAGACCTGGTAAACTGTGTTTACGTAGCGTGTCAAGAACAGGGTACAAAGTGCAACTATGGCGAGCCTCCCTGCTCATGAACAGGGGTAAGAGAGGGGGGGGGGGGGGCGCCATATTCAAATGAGCCGGACTCTTCTCTCCCCTCCCCCCTTCTCTTTGTCTCTCTCTCTCTCTCTTACTATCCTCCCAGGGCGCCTAGCTTCCTCGAGCAGATCCTATCGCAGATGAGAGAACTACCCAACAGAATTAACTGCGGTCAGGCCGGGCCGGTGTGGGTGCAGCGCGTTTCGTGCGCGCACCACGGTGCACTGCACCATCACCCTCCCTAAAGCTCCCCCCTTCCGCATTTCCCCCCCTTCCCCACCTGCGATTCTCATTAGCCACAGTGCCCCCGTTTGTTTTAACGTCTTTCTCCACCCCCTGCCCCTGCCACGTCTTTTTCGCTGGTTAAGTCGTCTCCTTCTGCGCGCCATTTGTCGCTTGCCCCCCCCCCCCCTCTTTCACCACCTCCTCCGCCTGTAAAGATGTCTTAGGGGCGGATCAAGCTTTTGGAGGGAAACATTATTGTTTCTCGACCACAATTCCTCACCCCATCGCAGCCCGCAGTACCCGTTACTCTTGTTGCAAATGGGGCCATTCCAGTCCAGCGGCAAACAGCTTGCATCCGTAAATCTCTTTGCTGCGAGCATATCCACTTGACGCTGGCATTTCCACACCTGCAGCCACCACTTCAACTTTGTTATATCTCACGCAATTTATTTTTGAATCTCTGTGCTGCTTTATTTTGTGTTTCTATTCCCGGATGCATTGCCAGCCATCCGTCAGCAAGCGCCCCGCGTGCCGTGACCCGACACCTCGCGGCCGTGTGCTGTTGTATATACCGAGCAGCGACGAAACTCGGGGAAGAAACTTAGTTTGTTGGACTGGCACCTCTGTGTGGCCCCGGCTGCTGGTGGAGCCGTGGGCTGAGGGGGGAAGGAAGACTCCCAAGGGGGGCTGCTGGAGATGTTGAGGTAAAGCCACGCAAAGCTTTGCCCCGGCGGGTGGGCGGGGTGCGGGAGATCCACAACAAGGGAGAGTTCGCCCATGGCCAAGGTGATGGTGATTGGATTCGGGACGATCTACTGGGAGCCGCTCCTAAAGCGTCGTCTGGGGGTAGCGGACTTTACTGGGTAGCATGGCCGCCAGGAGGCGGGGCACAACCGAGCTTACATCACATCACTGCCGGACTTACTGCTGGAAGTGGTGTAGTGTAGTACTGTCTGGTAGTCTGGCCCCGACGGAGGCGGAGGGGGGAGGGGATTGGGTGGGTGATGTGCGTGCAGGAGGGCGGAGTCGCTGTCGTGGCTCAGGGCAGTTAGTTTGGTCCAGGGTGGCGTTTGAAACTCCATAGGCTCTTCACGGCGTCGCTGCCGACGGTGAGGAGGGCAGAGAATGGGCAACGCCTGCCGACTCTCACGCATCATCCTCCCAGTTGCACAGACAGCCGCAAAACTGAAACTTAACACCCCCGCCCAGCCTGTCGCTATAAAACTGACAACCGTTATTCCAGCGGACGCCGAAGGAGGGTCGACTTATTGCACAAAACAAAACGCATTATAATTTGTGCCGAGCATGCAGCCCTTTGGGACAGAGAAGCGCTCGCCGGACAAGACCCGCGAGAGGGCCTGCTGGACTTTATTAGCTGTGCACAGCTGCCTCGCCCCCTCCTTCTCCTCCTCCTGGAGAATGAGGACGAGGAGGGGGAGGAGGGGAGGAACTGGGTGTTGTTCTTGGGCTCTGCGTCGTAATTAAAAGAAGTTGCCGACAGACTCGCCGCCTCCCTCCAGCCGCTGCTGCCGGCACCTGCTGTCCGGCGCAGCCCTTCTGGGAGCGAGGGCCGGCGGGCCGGCAGCCGGCGCGGGCTCACGTCGGAGTAGTGCATGTCTATCGAACAGCAGGCCACGACGCCGCCCGGAAAAGGGAGCAAACACCAACACGATGACTCCCCCAGGAAGGAGCACGAGTCAGCGGGGGTGGCACGGAACTTGCAGAGCTCCC